TAATGTAATTATTACGAAAATAACGATTATTCGAATTTGATACTTAATGCGGTGCATAATGGTAGTTTTTAGCCACCCGACCTATGATGTAATCCATTTCATCCAATGAGGGGGGGAATTTGCATTCGTCCAATGAGAACTTGGGGGGGAAATTAGTAAATCCCCCAACAGCACCCAGACAATTTCTGCTATCGTGTAGATATTGTGTAACATCAATATTGATAGCTGATCATTAATTCGCAAAACATTCAAATGCAATAGATTCTTAATATGTATTTTTTCGAACTTTAACCGAAGATATAACGGTAACTACATATCCTAATTCAATATTTATTGAGGTTTTCTATTTGTATTCGGTGGGTAAGTTACCCCGTATGAAAAAAAAAATAAAAATTGCCAATATCAAAATTTTTACTATGAAAACCACCCCTATGGTATTAACAAAAATGTTCAGCACTCAATTTTGCATCTTTTTTATCTTTATTCTAACCTTAACCCTAGAATTAAAAATAGAAGTATTTTCATCGATTTTAGATCGGTAGTTATCGAGATATCCTCGTTCAAAATTCAAAAAAATTTAGATATTATAGCCCAAGTTCGAAAAAACTTAACCACGGTCTTTTTGATCATTGCCTAAATTTTTTAAAATTTTGAACGAGGATATCTCAATAACTCCTAAACCAAAATCGCTGAAAATTCTTTTATTTTAATTCTATGGATTTGTAGAATTTTTTTTTTTTTTAAAAAAAAAAAAAATTCATCGATTTTGGATTAATATTTACCGAGACATCTTTTTTTAAAATTTAAAAAATTTGGCGACAATCAATGACTGCGACTAAGTTTTTTCAAACTCTAAGCGATAACATCTCGATAACTGCCTACCTAAAATCAATGAAGCTTTTTTTATTTTATTTCAATGAATTAATAGAATTAAAATAAAGAAGTGCATCGATTTTATATGCGTAATTATCGAGATATTATCCCCAAAATTTGAAAAAAAACTTAGTCGCGATCTTTGATAATCGACTAAATGTTCTTGAACTTTGAACGAGGATATCTTGATAATTACCGCTCTAAAATCGATATTTTAATTTTATGGATTTATAGAATTAAAATAAAAAAATTTTATGAAATTTGAATGGGTAGTTACTATTATATCTTTCGTTTAAAGTTCGAAATTGCATTCGAATGTTACACGAATTAATGATCAGCTTATCACCCTATCAATATTGATGTTACACAAGATCTACATGATAGCAGAAATCGTCTGGGATAGTTGACAAACTTTTTTGTTATTTTATCCAAAATCCTTCCAAACTTTTTATAGCATTATTACGTAACATACCATTATAATTCGAAATGTTGATTTTATTTGTTGTTAATAACAAACACTCGATTCTTATTTTATTAATAGTTATTAATAGGTAAATGAACGAATTAAATGAACGAATAAAATGAACGAATGAAGAAGAAAGCGAAAAAAACATAGTGCCGAAAGACAAAAAAACAAAGTTTCACAAAACGAAGGAAATGTTTATACTCGAATAAATTTTAAATTCGTTAATACAAAGAAAAAAAAACAACGAAACTTGTTTCGAATCAAATAACCGCGAAAATACGATAAATTTGCCTTAATTTACGTCAGAATTGCCAATATTTTCGATTAATAAGCTATATTATTTTTTATCGGTTTTGTATATCTATTTATCTATTTTATTTTGTTAGATTGCCACATTGGTTAAAATCGATATATTCTTCAAACTCCTCTTTAACTCCATCTGAAGCTTTCCTCAAAGGCCACTTGTTTATCCTTTTTTTTTTTATAGACGTACCCTGGATATGTCTCTTTATACCTCTTGTCTGCAACTGCTGCCAAAATAGTAAAATACCGTTTTACTTCATTCGACTCAGAATCCCAACTTTGACTTGCTTCCTTCGAAAGTTCATGCGTTTTCATTCCTGATGTCCTTTGAGGATTCTCCTTCTTCGCGCGTGTAACATAATGTTTCCGATATAAAATGAACTTATTTTGTGCACGAGGTGGTTTTTGTGATTTTGTTTTTTGTTTGCGCGGAGTAAGTAACTCTTCTAACGATAATCCAAATTCGCAGGGAGGGTTTTTATTCATCTCTTCGAGTAGAGCTTCGGGATCATCTTGAATTATTATATTTGACATTTCGTAGGTGCTCCGTGTGAGTTTCGAAAAATGAGGAGCTTTATATAGCGAAAATGCTAGTAATAGCTGAATAATCGATAATTATAAATTTTAATAATTGATTCTTTAATCTGAACGTGCATTTTAAATTTCCATTTGCTCTAACTCTAAAGTATGATACATAATTAAAACCTTCTTTGCCAATTTGTGATAATACCTATTTATTTTGTTTGATATTTGTACTCTTTTTTTATCTCTTTTTTCTTTGTTCACCGTTCTCATAAAATTATCATACGACGCTCATTCCATTAATTTCATGCATAAATTTTTATAAAAGTGGCGCCGTCGTCGTCGCAATCGGACAGACGGATCAGAAATTTCTCCGTCTAAGATCCCTACATGATATCTTCATATACAAAGTTATTTTTGAAAAAAGCATCTAAACGCATTTAAATTAGTCGATCTTCAATCCTGTTACCAAATTCCCAACTTTTGGAATTTTTTTAGTAATTTAAATAATGCATTAATTGTGACAACATTTTGTTTTTGCCTAGAGGAATATTAATAATGGAAAGGATTTTTTTTTTTTTACTCAATTCGCGGAATTGACTTATAACAATAGCCGTATGACCGTTTGATCCGTGCATGGTCGGAAAAATTAGGCTTTGTTCATGGTACGCCACTTTATTTATCTGCATGTGAAATTTTATTACCATTATTAGTTTTTTATACATAAAACGTGTTTTTAAACTAGCATTTTTTTTGTAACCAACAAATTTAACGGACCAATATGTAGCTTCTTCCGGGTTCCGGGATCAGTGAACTTTTTTCTGATTAGTCAATCATTTACAATTGCATTTATATAGTTTAGAAAACTTTTTTTAAGAATGTAATATTTCACAAATAAAAATAAAATTAAGGCCGTCGCTATCTTCAATGAAGCACTAACAGTTATTATACAAAATAATTCAAAAAGATTCACAGACTAGGAGTACTTTGTTTATAAGATGAATTTCTGCGGACATTATATGATTATTTCATTGTTAAATATATTTGACTTAGTGAAAAACAATTAATAAACCACTAAAAATGAGTCGTATAAAGGCGTTCAATAAGAATATCAATCTATTTGCATAAACCAATCGAACCTATCAAAAAAAATCATATTATTAAGCCTTAAATGTTTCATAAAAGTAGATAACACGATTAGAACCCTAACATCGCCAACCACGTAGAAAAACTTTATTTGAATAGCCAATTTATCTATATATAATGGAGTTAAATATGTGTCGATAGTGTAACTATTGTTTTGGGAGAGCTTATAGAACTATCGGCACAATTTAACTCCAATAGTTAACTTTATATGTTCTTTGTGAG